GACCGTGGAAGGTGGGTGCGTACTTGGATGAAACAGCATCTGTCCAGTACTCCCTGGTTTTCAATGGTTCTCTAACTAGTATCACTCCGTGATCAATTCTTTTTTTTTTTAAGATAAGATAAGCTTTATTCCAAATCAGTACTTGTGATACAGAATGGAATTCTCAGCATTTTTTTACTACAATATTGCATCCAGTTAGTACGTTAACAATAAATATACTTCTACATAGATTAAGGGTAATCTCAGTTAGTTTTAACAACAACATATTAGCATGTCGGTAGCAAAGCCAAAATTTAAACAGAGTGTTTTTGAAGGTGTTAGAAAAGTAGATACTACTAGCATATTTACTGGCGTAAGCGATAGCAAAATAGTCGAGATATACAGAGTGTGAAAGAACGAACAAGAATGTTTTAAGTAGAGTTTGCCAGGAAGAGAGAAACAAAACGGCACATAACAAAAATAAATACAGAAAAAAAAGGTAGAGAGAAAACGTTGTACCTGTAAATGATGTGAGTTGGAAAGACGAGATCCATTTGTTCTACTGACTATTTAATAAGTTAAAGGTTTCACGCCTGATGCTTTCTTTATCGCACAGAACACGAGCTAGGTAGGGTATGGATGAGTTTTTGTACTTGCTAGTGCGAGCATATAGTTTTCTATATAGGCTTCTGGTTCCCCCTGAAGAGATATATGGGGGGAGTTGTGAATGTAGAGGGTGTTGTGAGTCAGATAAAATGGTTTTTGCCCATTTTTCACATGAGTCCATGTGCCTGTCCACCAGAATGTTAACGAGCTGGCTAAGTGGCACCCTGTGGCTTACCCTGCTGATAACCTTTAAAATCTTGCGTAATAAGGTATAGTCTTTCTTCAATAGCCCAGGAAAGAATAAGGGGGAACAACAGAGAATAATAGACAGAATACGGAAGTTAACAAATTGTAGGAGTAAGGGTTGGGTTACACCAGAATGTCTTAACCTCTTGATGTAGAAGGTAAGACGGAATAATAATAATACTGACAATGATAATGGCAGTACAAATTAGAGGGAACAAACCTAAGATATTCCGATTAAGTGGACAGCCCGCTGACTCCTTAGCCACTGAATTGTAATGTCTCTAATTTCATTGTACAGTGCTACTTTCAACTCCTGCTATCGATGACCGCCATTTTTATCCTGAAATGGAGGGAGCCACTGTTGATGATCCACTAGTGAGCACCGCTGAAGACTGACAAACTTGGAAGAAATAACTATCAAATGGCCCTTGGTTTGCGATATGTAACCTTTATTGTAATCAATCTAAATACCTCTAAAAATCCAAAAAATTCGTGAATATCCGGAAAACAGTTATTACTATTACTGTTATTAAGTAGTATAATCTTGTCTGGTTGAAATTTACCATGCATTATGTCTGATCATCATTTCCAATCGATCTAGTTTGTTGAATATTTATAACTTTTGAAACTGAGAATAATACCACATCTATCTATGGTAATGTCATTTCTACATATTTCTTTGTTTTGTACGTTATATTGAAATGTAGTGAGTTAGATGAATAAGTTTGAGATCGCTACTTTAGTATTTTTATGCGTCAGCTGTAATTCATTGTGAAAATAGCGATAAAATTAACCTATATGGTCATAAGGGTATTTAGTTTTAGCATGAAAAGTCTAAGAGGTCCTATTTTTCTTTAACTGTATATTTAGAATTCTGTAGCGGTTATAAGACTGATCATGAGGCGACATCAGTCATAGAACCATTGGAAAGTTAAAAAGTGGAGTGCTGAACAGCTGTTGTTTCTTAAGTTCTAGTTTGAAGACTCTTTGTCAGTATGCTTCCACTATAAGGGTTCGAACCCATAGCCTTCCAATTGTGAGGTAAGCTCGTAAACCAATCAATCACTGAGACCCACTCCTGTTAATCTCGATTCCTCCTTTATGGCTGTGAGACCTGACCATTGAGACTGGATGATGTGAAAAGGCTAGCTAGCTGTGTTTGATCAGAGGTGCCTGCGTTTTATCTCTCGTTTTAGGTGGCGTAGTATAATATGGTGAGCAATATTGAGGTTAGGGATCGGTCGGGTGGTAGGTGAGGAGGAGAGGAAACCAATCGACCAGGCTGTGAAATCACATCGACTGAGTTGGTTAGGACATGTGTTATGTATGCCTGGTCATTACCTTCCTCGACGGGCAATGTTAGCTGACATAGGGTCAGACTGGAAAAGAGCTAGCGGTGGTCAAACTAAAACATGGTACGAGTCAATGAAATCCACAACAGTTAGTTTAAGTCACGTAGGAAGTTGTAGACTGACTGACTGACTGACTGGTTAGGGTCCTCGGGACGGTAAAACCAATGTCTGGAGACAATCGGTGATATGACTCAAAATCGTTTTCAATGGCGCAGATGAATCCACTCCTTGTGACTTATGATTTCCAATGAAACTGTTTTGTTCTTCGTTACTACTAATCCTTTTGTCTCACACCTCTGCTTAGTCTCAAATATGCATTTCTTCTACTTTCTTCTGTTGCTTTATGTGCTACATGGAGTGGAGTGTGGCGACTTGAACTGCTGCACATCGGTGCAAAGTTCTATGTCGAAAACAGACAGACAGACAGACAGACAGAATCTCAACAGTTGACGGTTCTACTAACTGATATCTCTTTACTAAAATCTTTATCATTCACATATGCTGCAAGTGAGTTGATGTCAGGGAACAGGTAAACTTTATCTGGGTTAGACACTAGTAATTAGTATGACGTGTCTAGTCCTTTTTTTGGTGCAGAGTGAATTCTATCAGTCAGTCAGGTTTGTAATGTGGCCACCATTCTAGATAGCTTGCCATCACGGTGCACATTAATTTGATGATATTAGATGGTCGGAGGCAATCGGCCACAGGAAGCCTTGGACCTAGGTTTCGTGCCAGCTGGCATTCATCAACAAGGCGCATATGCAACCTTGAAGGAACTCATGTCCCTTCCTTCTGAGATTCGAACTTTATACTGATGGGGAAGATTTTTAACCCAGATGGATATTTTTGAGTTATTGTATTCTATGAGTCAGATAGTTAAGCTGAGAAGCTTTCATCATCCCTTTCAACATCTTCTTTTGCAATAAGTGGAAATTCGAGAATGGTGGTGGTAGGATCTTTCCGGCAGAGATGATCTTGAAAGGTTTTGCCAGAAATAACTCAAGAAATAAAAACTTGGAGTACATAAAACAAATTATTTTTAATATATAATAATATAATATTTATTTATAACATTTATACTTCAAATTGAAGTATGCGCTGAAGACGTCACCTAGTAGGGCGATGAAAGCTTCGCAAATTAACTATCCAGCTCAGAGAACACAACCACATCAAAATAAAACAAATTATTTATAATGTATTATGCCAAGGAAACTATAATTTGAAGTATGATTTATAAAGTCAGACATAGTTACCTACTTTCCATAACAAAACATTTTTTCCGGAGATAACTTAACAATCACTGTTGAGTATGCATCAAATCTTAAGGTGTTTCTAGGAAGATGTGGAAATCTCAAGAGTAAGTTATGTAGTCTCTCCGCTAGATTGATACGTCCTGCCGACATGAGTGAAACGGAAATTATGAATAAACAATATGACAACTTTAAACAACTATTACGTGTCATATTAATGAGCACTCTGCAAAAAGAATCTACTACATTTCGATCGAGAAATTCAAGTGTTGCTTTGTAGAGATTTAATTGGTTACAGGATTTCATCATGAGCTGACATCAGTTAGAGAACCATTGGAAAACCAACTGGGAGTACCGGAGAGCTGTTTCGTCAATCAAGTTGGGACTCTTCAGCAGTACTCACCCACTGGGGTTCGAACCCACGACCTTCTGGTTACAAGGCGAGCCCATATACCATTAAGCCATTGGGATCCGATCCATTGGCCAGCTCATGAATTCCAACTTCTGCCAATTCACGACATAGCGCAACCGCTAGCCAAAATCTTCGGCAAGTATTTGTTCTCACACCCGACAAATGGTATACGAGCTTGCCTTGTAACGAGAAGATCCTGGGTTCAAACCCCGGAGGGTGCTTACTGCTGAAGAGTCCCAAACTTGGTTGACAAAACGGCTGTCCAGTACTCCCTTCAGGTTTTCCAATGGTTCTCTAACCAATTTCACCTCATGATGAAATCCTGTAATCCCGAAATTCTTTGGAAAAGAATGGCTAGTAAATATTTAGTTTAAACACCCTGAATGTTTCCCAAACACGTACATCTATTAAATTCTTCTCCAAATCACGGAATATGCACATCAGATCATTGGATAAGTTAAAAAACGGTTTTGGCTGAGAAGAAGATTTTCTTTCTGATGAAGTTATCGACTGCGCTGTCTATTCGTGTATTTATATAGTATATAAGTGAGAAAGTTCCATAACTATTTCCAGTGAAGGGTCAAGTTATTGAAGTTAAAAAGTGTAGGAAAGAGGAAGGTTGAATAAAAACATAGTAGGGACATGATTTCTGAGAAAATTGACTTTCTGTGCAATTAGGGATTAAGAAACCTTAAAAATAACAGAAATAAACAGGAAGATAATATGGGAAATGTAGTATGATAATCATTGTTGAGAGAGATGATTGTTTATGATGGCTACATAGCGCGGGACTGAACTTCTGGATCGGTATCGCCTCAGCTATGCTCACATGCCTTTATTTTACTCCCTTAGCGACATTTGGGCGGATAAGTTGTGTGACTTTAAAGGACTTTTTACCCAATGTTCTGTTACTAATCTATATACTCACCCATGCTTTCCTCCTATGCTAGTCAGCCTGGCTAGTTGATGACTTTATGGATAAAAGAAATTTTCTGCATTACTGAAACTACCTTTTCAATTTTTGTCTAAAAAATCCGTCTTCATTGTGCGCATTTATGTTAACTGAAGTTTTTGTGATACTATTTTGTCTACTTGCAAGTAGTACATTGAAATTACCTTAAAATTTTATGCGTTATTTTTTATCTATTTATTTAGGAGGGAATGGAATGGGTTATAAAGACGGTGAATAGTCGTGGGAAATTGAAATAACCAATTCAACATACACTAAACATACTCCTGCTCCTACCTTTATTCTTCTAGAGTGAGAAAAAATAAATGTTGTTCCTTTGAAATCCTATTCTATATTACAACCAGTATTGCATAATAACTCGTTTCTACTCATCTTGTGGAATGTTGAAACCTAAAAAAAAAGTCATAGCATCAAACCAAACTCAATCTACTACATGTACCACAATGGTGAAACTTGACTTTTAATCCAGAATGAACCAGCAAAAAACAACGAAACTGTCTGATTCGATTCGATTCGATGAGTCCTTGTCATTTTCTAGTTTTGCTGTGTTTCCACTTGTTCTTCTCTTCACAAACAGGGCGTATTTAATGTTTTCCCTTTTTATTTTCACATTCACAATATATATACTGAGAAATACATGTGAATACATTGCCATGTGTACATAGACTGTGTATCACGAATAATAAATGCTTTGAACTAATCCATTGTAATTCTAATATTGATTCTATGTCAATAAAAGTCCGAATTGAATTTGTCAACCAGTAGGTAGGTGATATTAACAGAGTGAACTATAGCGGAGTGAAATTGGTCCTAGGTGAGAAAATCAGCATTCCTATCAAACAAACAAGTGTTATTAGGAAGACGTAAAAACTCTATCACATAGGGTCTCGAACAACTACCTTCAAATGCTTCGCATACTACCATACAGAATATTATTATTATTAATTTATTATAACATTTAATTCCTAGAGGAACATAGGGCTTCAGCCACGCGTCTCCATTGCCTTCGGTTTTCTGCCAACTTTTTCACCTCACTCCAAGTCTGTCCACATGCTTTCATCTCCTCTTCACATGACTTCCTCCAAGTCATCCTTGCACTGACGACACACTCACCGCTTCCCTTTCGGGTTCCACTCGAGCAATGGCTTGTCTAGTGATGTCACTTGATGGTTTCCTCAGCGTATGGCCAGTCCATCTCCATTACTTTCCGCCTATTTGTTTCACAGTCGGTTCCTGCTTGGTTGGTTCGCTCAGTGCCAGAGATCCCTATTGCTAATCTTTTCTGGCCAGCCATCTGATCTTGAGTGGTATTGAGCAAAGATAACTGTTAATGAAGGTCTGAAGTTTGTTTGAGATTCTCTTTATGACGCGCTGGCCAAGTCTCTGATCCGGATAGTACCACTGACCGACTTCACATTGGAGTTGACGATCCGGTTCTTATTTTTGATGCTTAGTGCTGTTGACCTCCTCACAAACTTGGTGAGAGTAACGAAAGCTTGCCTTGCTTTACCGATCCTCGCTGCTTCGATATTTTTGTCAGTTCCGTTGGCCTGTAGTTGAAACGATGCTTCCCATGTAGGTAAAGGAGGTTGTTTCTCTCAGGTTCCTCCCATTTATGCTGGCTCATTGTTGTCTGTTGTTGTTGCTGGGACTGTTGGTGTTGGCCAGGAATCTTCATCACCTACCTCTGTTTTCTCTATGTTCACTTGAAGTCCTATCTTTGATGCTTCTTCTCCCAACTTGTTGCTTTTCACTTGCATATCTTCCAGTTTGTGGGAAATCAGACATATATCATCACGGACGAAGTCCAGATCCTCCAAGCTTTTGTGTGTGTGTGAGTCTATTTTATGCCTGTTTCCTCGTTGCCCGCCGTTGTTTGTCGCATTATCCAGTCTACTGCAATCAGGAAGATCATTGGAGATAATAGACAGCCTTGTCTAACTCCCCTCCTCACTTCGAAGGCTTCCGTAAGTTTCCCGTTGTGGATTACTTGGCATGCAGCATTGCCGCATAACTGTTGGATGAGATGTATAATTATCGATGGGACCCCGTAGTAGCGAAGTAGTTTCCAAATCACCTCTCGATCGACACTGCACTATCGAATACCTTTTCAAAATTGATGAAGTTGAGATAGAGAGGTGACTACCATTCCAAGCTTTGTTCAATGATGATCCGTAGAGTGGCGATTTGATCAATACATGACTTGTTTCTCCTGAATCCAGCTTGTTCCGGTCGGAGTTTTTCATCCGGGCTATGTTTGATTCTCTCCAGGATGATGTGGCTTAATATTTTGCTTGGGATGGATAGGAGCATAATTCTGTGCCAGTTTCTGCATTGACTTAAGTCTCCTTTCTTTGGTAGTTTGAATAAATATCCTTTCTTCCAATCCTCGGGTACTTTGGCCTCTTTCCACACCCACCCCTTCCTTGTGTACCGACATTCACACATACATACAAATGTCTTTTGGACTGAGTGTCATTCAAACAAACGAGAGTAATAAAAATCTATAATTATGTATACATTTTTTAATAACATTCTAAATACAGGACAGAAACATTTTCGAATAAAGTTTCTTTCTTCTTCGTTTATTCTATTTTATCTTATTTGTTTGTTTATTTATTTGTTTTTTTTGTTCAATGGTGACAATGCATTTTCGTGCGAAATTCAATTTCGTGTCTACGCGATTTTTTTTGTCTTCGTAAAACTTCTACTCTGTTTGTGTTCTGTGTACACCTAAGATATTTCTGGATAGTTAAATGTGCCTATAATGGAGTTTAAATTAACGTGCATATGTGAATCGTTCTATTATTAGTTCTGAATGTATGCCAAAAAACGAATTTATTCGGCCTTCAGGGTATTGTGAAATTATGTATATTTAGAGAAATGATATTGACCAAACCTAGTCTTCCAATGAAGATGCGAAGTTCTCGAAAATAGCGATGGTTAGGTGTGGAGTTAGCGACCCTACTCCGGAAAATCACTCCAATCGCTGGAGAATCTTTGACGCAGAGAAAAAGATATTTGGAAAAAAATATCTAATTATTCTTCACTGGAATGAGAGAGAGAGAGATAAAATGACGCCGGCGCTGTGGAAGCCTTCTAGAAACCAGTCAGCTGATGTATCTTCCTTCATTGGGTGCATAAACCAACAAGTTTCGAAATCGTCTAGGAAAGCTGCTCAGACTGTAGCAGAAATCAGAAGACATAGTATAAAAGTGCTAGGAATTTGTGTGAGGAGATGGTTGGAGACAATCGGCAGGAAGCCTGGAATCTAGGTTTCGTGCTAGTTGACCCCCACCAGTCAGCAAGGTATATGTGAAATCTTGAACAAACTCGTGTCCCTTCTGTCTGAGATTTGAACCTGCATCACCCAGTGAAAGCTGAAGTCATAGACTTTACCAGTGAGCTGGCATTTCGGGCTCGCGATTGACCTCCTGTAGGACTATACTGAGTATTTTTATTGGACACTAGTAACTAGTTTGATGTGTCTACTCCTCTCTTTGGTGCAGACTGAATTCTGTCAGTCAGGTTTGCAAATGTGGCCGCCATTCTAGGTGGCTCCCCATCACGGTGAACATTGATTTGGTGATATTAGATGACAAGTGGCAGCTAGCACAAAACCTAGGTCCAAGGATTCCTGTGGCCGATTGGCTCCAACCAACTAATATCATCAAATCAATGTACACCGTGATGGTGAGCTACCTAGAATGGTGGCCACATTTTTTCGTAAAACGTCTACTCTGTTTGTGTTCTGTGTACACCAAAGATATTTCTAGGTAGTTAAATATGACTATAATGGAGTTTAAATTAACGTGCATATGTGAATCGTTCTATTATTAGTTCTGAATGTATGCCAAAAAACGAATTTATTCGGCCTTCAGGGTATTGTGAAATTATGTATATTTAGAGAAATGATATTGACCAAACCTAGTCTTCCAATGAAGATGCGAAGTTCTCGAAAATGGCTATGGTTGTATAGGGGGCTATTGACCGTACTCCAGAAAATCAGTCCAGTAGCTAGAGAAGCTTCAACATACGGAAAAAGATGCGAAATATAAAGTTATTTTTCACAGGAATCAATGAGTGTCTGAGAGAGACAATGAAATGGCAGTGGACTCTTCAAATATCTTAACTGCGCAGTCAATAATCTCCTTCCCCTCCAGTTAACTAGAAGACAACTACGAACAAGCTGAGGGATCGGCTATCATGATGTCACTAACACCATCCAAAGCTCTTCTGCATTGAGAGCCAGTCTCCTCCTTTAGGAAAGTGACAGTAAGATCCAATCAAAAAGGAAGGGAAGATACAATTATCCAGTGCTGTGCGCTTACAAACACTTCAGACTAAAAATGAGGAATAAAGACTTCTGAAGACAGCTGCAAATAGCAAATGGCGACTTCGAAATCCTAACGGATGATATAAAAAACCAAACTGGGAGTAGACAACACAGGATGGGAAGTCGTCATGAGTCAAGGAACTCTTTTCAAAATGAATGGGGACGACGTGTAAAAGCGGAGGGACATGCACAAGGCTACGTGAGTTTAATTAGAGGGATAGGTACAAAATTCACAAAAGAAACATCTTCCGATCAAACAGGAATACATATTAGGTGATAAGAAAATAATAAAGACTACAAATCACACTACAAAGAATATTTAATGAGTGTTCGATCCTCTGCCGATGCACACGTGATATCTATGGTCGACCTGTAAAATGTAGGCTACCGATATCACATGCTGAAAATTCCATACCTGTACCAAAAATACGGTGTGGAATCAAGCTGTAATAAAAAAAGTATAATAATAACAAGTGAGGAGAACTTCAAATGATGTCACCTACCAGAGCTATCGAATGGGTATCAGACGGTTAGACGCCGAACAGTGATATGAGAATGTGTTACGGAGGAAATGGAAATGTTCAGAGCAGTCATGTAACAAGGTGAGTGGGCTTGCAGAAAACTGACTACCTCAGAGATGTCCTGATGAAGACTCGTGTTCCACCAGCCAGAGGTCATTGAAAACCAGACATCTCTGGACAACTGTTTCGTCCTATTTTGGAACTCCTCAACAGTACATACCTTTGAGCCAACCACAATGTAAATGCGAATCTCATGCTCATTGATGGTTACTGGATAGATGTCCTGAAGCTGTAGCGAGGAGTCGTGGCCATCGGTGTCCACCATGTGTCATGGTGGAGTGGATGTTCATTGAAAGCATTGATGAGAGTAGCGCTATACCGTGGATTAACAAAGTTTAAACTGAGGGGCCGCTGAATTCCTGTAAGAGCCCCTGAGGTTGGTCTTGTATCTAGAAGGTTTCTGCTTCGATCCCTTGTGGGATTGTGGGTGTACACTGCTGAAGTGCCAAAAACTAGAACGAAGCATCTGTCTATTGATCTCTGATCTATCTAACTGATGTCGTTTCGTGGCGAAATCTAACAATGAAATCCTGAACCCAATCAAATCCCTACAAACCAACACTTGAATATCGATGAGATGCTCACTAGCGACTTGCCCTATTCAGGTAGGTAGTTACTTGTTGTTCTAGTGAGAAGTCGTGACCAGTAGGGTGCGGCAGGTCGGGCGTGAGGACAAATACTCACCGAAGATATTGGCTAGAGGTCGCACTATGTCATGAATTGGCAGAAGTTAGAAGCCATTGGGTCGGGTCCCAGTGGCTCGGTGGTCTACGAGCTAGC